AAAAAAAATGTTTTTTTTTTTTGGGGGGGGGGGGGGGGGGGGAGGAGAAAAGAAAAAAGGAAAAAAAGAGAGAGGAATAGACAGCAGGTTAAATTGGGTTAATCAGACCTTCGCCCGGTCCGGTGAAAAAGTGAACCGACGTAGATTTCTACCCCTTTCAAAGGACGACGATTTTTTTCGCGGGGCTCCAAAACCCTTGCTTTACCTAAAACCCTAAAATTGCTCCTCAACACCTCACAATATTTCCCTCTAATGGCGAAAACAAACTCATGGATCTCCCACATCGAAGCCTTCGTCGATGCCTCTTGCTCTTCGAACCAGCAGGTCGATCTCGCTTCTCGCCTCCGCATAATTTCCTTTGATCAAAATCTCATTTTTGTACGAAATCGTACATATCATCATTCAAGTTTAGGTCTTTAATCTTTTATTTTCTTTGATTATTATGCATATTCAGAAACTTGGGTCTTTTCATGAGTTAATAATAATTCCTGTGGATCAGAATGCAAGTGTGGATGCGATTGCAGCGTTGGTGAAGAATGACTCATTAACTCTCGAGGATTTGGTGGGTTTCTGGATGAATTCTCCTGCACACAATTATTAAAATTTAAACTTAAACTTATTTCTATGCTAATTTTGTGTTTTAGGTAAGAGAAATGGAGCTTTATTTGACAACCACGGACAATATAATCCGCGCAAGAGGTAAACCGAAGAAAGGAAAATAATTTATGTGACTGAGTCCAAATATTTAGGATAAATCGTTGTTGTGGTTAGTGTAATATGAGCTTGTACCCATTAAGCAAGCATTCAAACTTTCCTCAGATGACTCTTCTCTTTGGTTTTATACACAGGTTACCAAATTGACAAATTGACGAACATTTTGCATAGGGGTTAAAGTTATAGATGAAAAAACTAAAAACGCGATTTCTACATCCCTACGGGTGAAAATCTTTCAATTTCAGGTATAATTTCAAAAACAACATTAAGTAGCACTGAAGAAAGAGATAATTTTCCAGTCTCATCGTCTTTACTAGAGTGATTCTCTTATAAATGCTAAGGGATTTTTTGACGTTTGGTCAATGTGAGTTAATTATCTCCTCTTACTTGCCAAAAATTGAGATAGCAAATGTGTCTCTGCAAGGATATTTACCTAGACGTGGGCACTTGTGGTTTATCTGTATTGAAGCATCAATAGTTATTTGTGTATGCAGATTTAAGTATATCAAATACACATTCACCTACATATACATATATTTCAGTTATACATAATGTCATAAGCATGTATTAGTGAAATATGTATCTATGATCAACTGCATATAATCATTTGTATATTTCCTCTTGTGGCTTTTTGTTAGCTATCCATTTTTTTATTTTCAGGAACTCTTCTTCTGGGAGAAGTTCTTAGTCATCTTACTGCAAAGCCATTAAGTAGTACCATTATAAGCAGTTTGGTAGGATTTTTCACTTCAAGGCTGGTGAGTTTGCATCTTTAGTTCCCATTTGTACATGTAAGATATCACCTTTCAGTTTTGCTTGTTTCTGACATGTTGAATGACGTTGCAGCTTCATTGCTTGTTTTTAAGTTTACATTTTGAGGTTTATGTTTATATTTGTATTTTGGGTCTTCTCTGTCATGTTTTTGTTCGTTATGTCATGCATTGCTCCCCTTTCGTTTCTTCATTCCTTCGCCTTCTTTCATATAGGGATTATTCTTTTTGAAGCTTTGTGCAGTGACCCAAGCACATTTTGGGATGGAGTAGAAAGGCTCAAGTATTAATTATGGAACACCAGAGTGTGCCATAAAAATAATAATTTAATCACTGATTCTCATACTTGAGTACGCAATTAAATATGATCTAGTGCTTATATTCTTCTTGCAGTGATGACTCATTCATATCAAGCACCAAATGCTGACGATATTAAGGGTTCTTCGATTGCTCTTTAACCATTTTGAACCATGTAACCCTTTGTCTCTTTCCCAACTCTGAACGCAGCGCTTGCCCTTGTGTTATTAGTGAGATTTTCAGAGGTTAATGTCTATAACCATGAAATCTGCATTCAGAAAGCTCAGCTTCGGCCAGCACCTTTTTTTTTTCTAAGTTCATCAAATAATCGTTGCCATCTTAATGTCACTGCATACACAGCTTAAGAGACTCATCCCGATTATACAGAGCTTGTTTTATGCATTCTTTTCATTCTCTTACACATGGTTGATCTAAAGACTACAATTAATATGACCTAGTCCTTACAGAGTTATTGTAGGTCTCCTTGCTTCCTTTTCCTGTCACTTGTATGACCATATTGTCACCTAAGGTTTTTGAGGTCCTTATTTTACCATCTTCAACCATGAAAGCATAGGCTGTTGGCCAGTATCTCACTGGCATACGCTTAAAATCATTCTGTGTTGGCAGAGAAATCTTAGAGAACAATGGCTATAACCGTGAAATCTACATCTGGAAAGCTCAGCCTCTGCCATTAACTTTTTTCACTCTTTTAAGTTCTTCAAATTCAACTATTACCCTCTTAGTTTCACTGCATATACATCTCAACAACGTCACCTTGATTATACTCATTGTTTTGTGTACTCCAAATTTCTACTATCATTTTACATAGGTTTGGGTACACCTAGACTTTAACCAACAACTAACCTCTATGTGTTTCGGCTCACAGTTTATGTAAACCAACTTTAGATTACCAGGGTACACAACTATCACATTTTTAGCACCCTTCTTTTGAAATAATAGAAAGAAAAGACTTCGGATTTTCTGTTTAGTTAAACATAACTTTCCAAATATACCGAAGACTTTCCTAAGGAGAAAATATTTCAGTTTAAATCAGGTTGCTTATTTTCTGTAAATTGTGTTGCATTTGTCATCTCTGGTCTTCCGTCTAAGCAGCTCTTCTCATGTTCTGTTAGATCAACTGTTCCTAGTAGTTTCAAGGTCTTTTCTCCTACGAATGAAAAGATTCTGACCTACATATACAACTTAAACAAAGGACTTTCTGCCAAAAATCTGGTAGAATATCATGAGATGCATGCAAGGACAGGTGCAGATTTTACGGTGTGAGGTCAGGTGCCCGCATATGTGCCAAATTTTTAGAAATAACCTATACCTTTAACATGTGCCCCATATAATATTTATGCAGTGTCCCAGTGTAGATAAAAATAGTGAATGTTTATTGTTGGAGCTTAGTAGTACCTTATTATTTTAGTGATAAAAATGAAAATGATCATGTATTGATATAAAAGTGATAATGAACAAGTATTATGTGTCGAGATCTTTGTGGTATTGTATAAATAAATTTTTTTATTGGTAGAATGTATATTATGTAATTTATTAATTTACACGTTTAATTGTATATGTGCCCGCCCAGAGAAAAAAATTTCTGAATTCGTTCCTGGATGCATTGGTATTTGCTGAAACACAATGCTGACCAACAAGTACTTGATGTTCGCAATGTAACGAGTAGTGCATAGGCTTATAGCTTTACAATTTTCTTCATTCAAAATCTTGATACACTTTTTTGTATTATACATTTCGTCAAACCCATTTAGTGATACCTAATTGCTTTATCATACTGTTTACTAAAGTATTGTATCTGTTTATCTTTCCATTTTTTCATGTGACATCCATCCATCAGTAATCCCAATGGAAGTATGTTCGACAATTTACATCTGGACCATCAAACCAAATAGATTAAACTGAAATGTTTATCATTGTTACTTCTCTGCTATGTCCTTTCTTTATTTTCTTAGGTGGCTGTGAGTTGCTAGTTTTTAACTGATAACACTTCAGTTTAGCTCCTTTAGCTATTGTCAAGTCATATACTAGTAGGATACAACCTAGTTCATTTCCCCCCCAAATCTAAATTAAATTCTCACACTGCTAACAGATAGAATGAAGATATTGCATTTGTGCAGAACATGATGAATTTTTTCCCTGACAATAATGCCATAAAGTACAATGTGATCCTCCAACATCTAAACTGTCTTCACTATGTCCACCTGACCTTCTCTGTCTGTGAGATGAGTGTATCCCTCAGTAATCTATTACATCCTTCACTAAATAAAGATCTGGAGGAGATTTCAACAAGTTTAACTAACTAAAGATGTAGGAGAAACATAATGTGGAAGAACAGATCTATGTTTTTGCCAGTATCATTCTTTTTATTAGCAGCTTCTAATAAATGGTCTGTGATTGCGTATATCCAGTAAATTAATGAATCATCAAATAAATGGAGCAGAAAAGCATGTGTCATGGTTACTGTGATTGTGAATAACCAGTAAATTAGTGTTATCTTGAATTAGAATGTTGACTGGAAAAATTTATCTACATACTAAAGTTATTAGGGTTAGTACTGTAGCTTGATACTATTCATTCTACAGTTCACCCCAATAGCTTATTGTTAAAAGAGACAATAAGTAATTTTTGTTTACAAATGCAATGTTCAACCCAATTTGCCTATAAGTCCACCACTTCAAAAATCCATCACAAGTACATACTGTTCTGCGGGTTTGAAACTTTTTTCAGCCCCACAACATCAGTTTAATGTAGTTAAAAGTAATTGTAACTAAATAATTTTTTTCTCTATAAACCCAATAAGCTAACCCAATTTACTTTTAAGCCCACCTTAAAAAATTAATCACAAACCTGAAATACTCCATCAACTCTAAAAATATAATATAATAATATAATGAAAGACCACATAAATATCTTTTTTTTGCTATAAACCCAAAATTCCCTAATTTATTTTTAAATTCACTCGCTTCATAATCAGTTTTTAACCTGAAATACTCTAATGAATTGTTTTTAAACTTAATTTATATTTCATGAATTTGTTATATCGTAAGTTGCAACTGTAGATTGATTATTTAGCTATAAATCTTATCCTTATTTTCAAACCTACCCATTACAAGGTTTTTTAATTATAAATCTGAAGTATTAGATCTATTTATTCTTTAAACTCAATTTGTGGCGGTTTATACATATAGTTTAAGTTGTTATATTCCACTTTGACTTGACATATTTCTTTTCTAAGAATCTAGATGTACAGTGTTTTAGACCATGCTTAAGCATTATTTTATGTTTTTTCCCCACATTGTTGCAATGTTGCCAATGGTAGATGAGTTTTTTCCTATAAGTTCAAGGTTTTATGCTCATTTATTTTTAAATTCACCCATTTTGCAAAGTTTCTTTTTCTAAATCAAAAGTATTTTGGTAATTTTCTATACATGTAAGTTGTTATATTTCATTATAACATGCAAACTTCTATTCTAAGAGGTTAGGTAGAGTATGGATTCTATAAAAACGCCCTATCTAATAGGGTAATCTATACCACCTGTAGGTGGTTAAATAGTTTGCGAATTATTGTTATTTCATTAATGGTGTAAACCACCCCACTTTTATATGGGTAGTTTTTATAGGAATCCTACTGTTTTGATACACCATGTATTTCATGAATCAAATACTTAATAGTGTTGCATTTTTTTCCATGCAAATGAGGTGGGATCGAAATATTTTTTCTGTATAAACTCAAAATTTTGGTCCATTGCTTATTTAAACTTACTCTCTTCCAAAATGGAGTTCTTGCATATACGTCCAAAATCTTGCCTTAATTTATTATTAAAGTCGCTCACCTCCAAGATCACTCTTGAGATCCAAAATACTCATTTGAACAAATCTTAAATTCACTTTACATTTTCACCAGCTCATCATATGTGAGTTTCTATATTTTGTTATAATCTTGTACATTTTCGTTCTAAATCCAAAGTCATACTATTTATTTTTAAACTCACTCATTTCCAAAGCTACTCTTAAACATAAAATACTCAACATTGTTTTTTAATCTACTTTGTATTTCAACGGTTTGATATACATTGTGAGTCATTATATCTTTATTTTAAGTGGTCAGCTACAACGTATTTTTTTACCAGATACTTGATCCATAATTTTTTATTGGTTTATTGGCCTCTAAGCCCAAAGTTCCCCTCCATTTTTTGAGCCCACTCATTTTCATAGTTATTTTTTCTAAATAGTTCGGTGTATTATGTAACCGGATGTCTTAACCATTATATTTTAGCTTTTTCCATGTTAATGTTGCAGCATAGTGAGCTGTAGATGTGTTTTTTTTTGCTTTATTAATTTTTAAACTCACTCACTTCCTAAAATTTTATCTCTAAACCGAAAGTTTTACCTTCATTTACTTTTAGACCCACACACTTTCTAGATCACCTTCGATCTAACATACTTAAAAGAGTTAATTTTAAACTATTGTATAGTAGTAGTTTTTTATCATTGTAAGATGATTTGTCTTGCTTTAACTTGCTATTTTGTTCAAAGTATTAGGTGTACAATATATTGTTAGGCCAAATATTTAAACTATATTTTTAACTGTTTTCACGCAGATGCTGCGGCAACGCGTAGGTCAATTTTGCTCGTTGTAAAGAAATTCCTCTAAGAATTTTTAATTAGAGAGATTTCATATTTTCTAATCTTCTTGTCTATGTGGCCTCGAGAAGCTGGAATTAGAGAGTGGAGGATGATGGCTTAGTACTATTGAATGTTGACTAGTGATAATGTAGCTTGGTTATGAATGATGAGGATATTAGCTCTCATCATCATCTTTGGTTTATCTCTCATCAATTCAAATAGTTGGAGCTGAAACCTTTTTAAAGATTTTTTTTTAACATTCATGGCGGACTGTCATACCATTAGTTACTTTTACAGTTTTACTCAAAATTTTAATTTGGTCATGTATTCTTTCAAAACTGTACTTTCTCAGCATTTCATTTTGCAGGTTTTCACCTTTCTGTTATAGCAATTATTTTTACATCATTTGTGATGTGATCTTCATTTCGACATCAGGCAGATTGGCAAGCTCTGCGTGGGACCCTCGTTGGTTGCTTGGCTCTTCTGAGAAGAAAGAGTAATGTTGGAATGGTTGTAGGCAATGAGGCAAAGATGCTTGCAGAAAATTATTTAGCTAATGTCCAAACTCAGTCTTTAGCAGTGCATGACCGTAAGGTGGGACTCCTGGAGTAATTTCTTTGATGCACAAATTTTTGCAGAAAAGTACTTTTGGACTTGGTTTTGAGTAATGTTTTTTTTTGTTGCATATGTTATGGCTGCAGTTATGCTTTGAAGTTCTTCAGTGCTTATTGGATGTCTACCCTGAGGCTGTAATGGATCTGGTATAATTGCAACTTTTGCTTTTGATATTAGCTGTGCAGAATCCGTTTGGCTTTGAGGACTACCTTCTGTTTCATGCAATTATTTTAGTCTTTCCAATTTATACAACATTTTTCACAGCCTTTGGGGGTACTCAAGGATAAACTTAACTTTTCTTGTAATCTGACATCAGGCTGAACCTGGGAATGTGATTTTGCTCCATATGGAAGTTACTAACCTATTTCACTGTCTTAGGTTATGCTTGAGGAAAATTTATAACAAAAAAAGCATCACATCTGCTTTACAAATATAAAAGTCATCCTTCACATACAATTTTTAAAGTATCTTGACAATATATTTATTGGATGTCAATAATCTCTACATGATTAACAAATTGAGTTCTTCCAAGTTATTAACATGTATTTTAAGGTGCATCTGCACGGTTTATATCACAATGCTACTTGGACAATTCATTACCACTACCCAGAGTACACTCTGTAATGCATGCATGCAGATGTGCGTGCTTGTAGCGAATGCTGTAATTCATGGCATTTTATCATGGATATTAGACATGGTTTTTTTAGTTTCATCACTTATTATCTTCCTCAAGAATCTGTATCATCGTATAAGTTAATTCTCATTCTGTTTATTTGCTTTTATGTCATTGTACTTGCTTCATTATTTGGACGTCAGAACTCATAAAAAGAATTTTCTTGATTTGCTTTTCCATATCTTGAAGTTGTTTCTTAGGGACCGTCTCTTTTCGTAATTCTCATGTCAAGAAGAGGCTGTGTTGAGCATAGATGCTTGATACAAGGAAGGAGTTCTAAAATTTTGCTTGCTGAAGTCATATAGTAATTGTTTATCCAATCATATCCACAATAATTTTCTGGTCATAATTTCAAAGTAATTTTAAGTTTGTTTGGTTTTCTTTTCCATTTAAGGTTTGTGAAATATATCCTCCGTCATCATGCATATTTGTTCATGGAATAACCATTCTACAGGATGATGAGCTTATTCGTGGAATCCTGGATGCGATTGATGGGGAAAAGGATCCTCGATGCTTGATTCTAACATTCCATATAGCAGAAACTCTAATGCGACTATTTCCAGATCAATCTAAGTCAGAAGAAAGCTTTGCAGAAGAGATTTTTGAGATTTTAAGTTGCTATTTTCCTATATATTTCACACATGTAAGTTTGAGGAATGACGACTATGCATTCTTGTTATAAACAGTCTGCATTTTGCTTCTGAAATGCATATCTATAATTGTATTGGATTGACATTAATTCAAAGTGTCCTTAGGCAACTTTTGACATTCAATTAAAACACCTTTGACATTGATTTGAAGTTGTACGAGAAATTTCTTGCATCTCATTATCAACTAATATTTATATTGTATCGTACATAATTTCTGTGAATGTTATTAGTCTATAGCTCATTGTTGTGGGGGAAGGGGTTCATTATCTTAATCAGCAACCACTGCTTCTGATCTGTTAGTTTAACCGGACGTTTCGAGCGTACTCCTTTTTTTGACTGCTGCTGCCAACAATTTCATCAGTGCAGTACAAAAATTTGTAGTCGGCGTATGGCATTTATAATTAGTGTAAAAAAGTATTTTTTTATTTTCTTCGTAACATTTATAATTAATGTAAAAAAGTAGTTGTTTATTTTCCTCGTGATGACTAGTTTTGACAGATTTAGTTCCCTTGAAGAATGACTACTTTGCTCACATGTCCTACACGTTTCTGTGTTTCAAATTGGAATTTATATACTATGTTAGAAATTGTCTCATTATTCAGTTGCTGAATCAAACAAAATATATTAGAGGCTGTGTAGTTTTGGTCAGTTTTCTTGAAGGCTAATGACTTGAACCGTGTCATTCGAGTCTGTCCTGATTAAGATCATTTTACAGGTAAAGGTTACACAATGCCGATTGCCACAATCTGCAAGTTCTACAAAAATCAGCTGAAGGGAGCCTTTAAACCCATCCTGTGAAAACAAAAGATGTAATAGTAGAAAGTGATACAAGAAAGACTGCAAGCTTATTCTTTATTCTAGACCATTTCAATGTCTATTCGGCTTATTCGCTAATGCTTCTCGCTATCATATTACTTTTTCAGATTGCTCTCTTCCTTTCTAAAACGAGTTAGGATTAAAATAAAACTTGTGATCTTGAGTTTCCAACATGTACCCAATTAATTTTGAAGTATACTTTAAGTTAATTGTAATATGATTCTATACATAGGCTTTTAGTTCTTTTTAGAGCATTGGCACTCTGGACCTTAGTGACTAAAATTACGATTTATGACAGACTGAAGCATTTTATCTAAGTCTAGTAAGCATCATATGATGGAGGACACATTCTTTAAATATTAAACAGGGTCTATTCATCTTGATACGTCGGTAAATCTTCGAGTAGGAATGTTTGTAAAAATAAGTTTGGAGTTTTTTGTGTGAGAATTTTTCTGGACGGAGATAATGAACAGGAAAGGTTGGCTACAAAAGCCTCTATCATAAGTTGTAGAAGTTTTTTGAGTGGATGAACCGCTTTAATAGGCTTTGTCTGCCTATGTTTGTTTTAGGTTTTCTAGATTACAAGATTAATTAAAGTTGAAAGCGTGATGCAGACCTTGGTTTTATATCAAGCATTATCTGCCTAATACATTATGCTCTTTGTGCTTTATGTTTCTAATATTTTTATTACTGTCCTGTACCATATAATTAGGAGATCAAGCTAGCAAACTTGAGGTATATGCGTAAAATGTTTAATCTGTTTATTGTACTGACTTGATGCTTGGACATAAATTTCTATCTGTCGGCTACTTGCATATTTCTTTATTACTTCATTATTTTGTGTTGCTTATGCTCATTTTGATTTTAATGCATGCAGCAAAAAGTTGATGATCTTCAGATAAAAAGGGATGATCTTTCTAGGGAACTAATGGTATGGATCATATTTCCATGATATTGTGATTTTGGAAGCTTTGTGAATTTAATATTATGATAGCTGGCTCTATTTGTTTTTTTCCAAAATATTGCAAGTACTGCTGGTTTACACATGGTCATGTGGCTCCACCTCTTTAGTGTCAAATACATAGTTTTGTGACTAATCCATTACAATAACCGAAACAAACTAGTTTATTATATGAATTTAATCTTATGGTAGCTCACCCTATTTGTCGTTTGTCAAAAAATTACAAAGTACCGTCGGTATACATGCATCTGTGGCTCCATCTCTTGTGTATCAAGACAGTTTTGTGACAATCCATTACAATAACCGAAACAAACTAGTTTACTATGTGTATCGTGCTTAATTGGCACTATGTAAAAGGATCTCCTAGTTTCATTTAAAGTGGGAGATATTGTGCTGTTTGCTTTCAACTTTGTGCACGGTCCTATATTCCTCATTAAAAAAGGTTAAAGGAACATTCCTTTTGTTTCATATGTCCTTCACATGATCTATTTTGTATTGCAGAATGCCTTCTGTTCAACTCCATACTTCGAGCCATTTGCCATTCCTCTGGTGCTCGATAAACTTTCCTCGTCTCTTCCTCTAGCAAAGGTTTGTGGTGACATCTAGGTGTTGCCTCTCCTTATTGACTACTCTTCTCCCTCGTGATATATGTTTTATTTTGCTTTGCTATAGCTTAAAGGTTAATAAGTTGATTTCCCTGCAGCTTGATTCTTTGAAGTATCTTAGCAATTGCATATTACATTATGGAGCTGATAGAATGTTTAAGCATGCTAAAGATATATGGTTTGCTCTGAAAGATGTCATCTTTGATTTTTCACCGGAAGGAATTATAGAATCAGCAGGAGATATGGAATCACAGAAAGCTCAAATTGCAAAAGAGGCCCTCACTTGTTTGCAAATGGCTGTTTCACAGTTAAACTTCGTCAATAGTGAGCCATTTACAAGCTTGATTCTTGACGATCCGGACATTGAGAGAATTTTTTTGTCTGTGTGCCTGGAAAGAAGTTATTCAGGCATCCCCAAAGAAACTCTGCATCAACTTAATTCTATTGGAAGCATCTTATCTATTGCTTCAAAGGTCTCTATTGATGGTTGCAGTAAAGTGTTCCAGAAATTTTTTCCACGCTTGATGAATTTATTAGGAGTAGATAAAAACGATTCATCTTATGGTTGCATTAAGGACTGCAACACATCTTCTAATTTGAATTTTGGAGCTCTATACTTGTGTGTTGAATTCCTTGATTCCTGTAGAGATTTGACTATTGGGCTTCAGGATATCCCTCCACAAGCTCCAGACAGCTGGTGTTATCTGCTTAAAGATTTTTGTGGTCCATTAAGTTATGCTTTTAAATCATCTCTGGTGAATACTGTTACTGCTGCGAAGACCGGGCAAGAATATGTGCCTTGTGTAGGTAAAGCTTTGATATGTTTTCCCCTTCTTCTTTCATGTATCCTCATGACAAATTGCTTCTCATTAGTATATCCATTCATTTGTTTGTCATGGCTCACAGCTGCCACTGGTGGTTTTTTATTTTATGGCTAAATTCATTTCCTTTGGCAAATCTTACCAACTAACCCTGCCACTTTGTTCCTCACCCTTTCGACCGCCACACCATCGCTATTCTTGTGCACCCAGTTGCCTGATAATCCATTCTTTTTACAATTGCAATTATCAGCAGCACCAACACTGCTTCCTTGGTTATTTTCTTGTGTGGCACATATAAATTTGTGAGCTTCACAAAAGAAAGCTCAATGTTTTCAATGGGCATTCAGTCTAATATTTATCCTCCATGGGCTACTGGCAAGTACCCTGGATGAAGAGAAGAATGGATAAGACAGGGCGTTGCCTTAAAATGGGAGGCCTATTTAATTTTTGTAGTTGATTAGTTCCTTCTAATCATGAAGCAGTCTTGGATTAGGAAGAGTCTAGATGAATTGCTAAAAGGTTTTTCCCCTGCAGGGAATTGCTTTCTGTTAAGGGAAAAGTGAAGCTGATCAGTCAAATGGGATCACATTCTCAATCTTAAAAAAACTGCCACACGAGTAACAGGCTAAAATTCAGACGTGGTATAAGTGTGTCTACTGAATTCTATGTATTTTTTCCGTGTGTCGTTTTACTCTGTCAATCAGTATATTAGTATAATTGCTCATGTACAGTTGCTCTGCGCACCGGTTATTGCGCCTGTTAGAATAGATTTTGAGCACTATAACAATATCTAGTTAGTTTGGATGCAAAACTGCATACTTCCCTTGTAATTGCTCATTAAATTGTTGTGTCTTATGTTTTCATAGCTTTGGATCCTCTCATCATGCTTTATTATCAAGTTGCTGTTGTATCTTCTTAGTTTCTCTGTACATATGCTAATTCTCTCTTTTATGTTGTTAGCCTCATGGTCGCTCTTATGTTATATCACCTATTTAATCTTTTATTATTCAGTGACACGATTGTGTAAAACTACTTGCAGTAAAGGGTTTGCAGGTACTTGCAACATTTCCAGGATGTCACTCACCTGTATCGGAGAAAATATATGAAGATATTTTAGCAGTCCTTATGTCAGTTATCACTGGCAGGTTTGATGAACCATTCTTGTGGAGAACTGCTTTGGAGGCATTAATTCAAATTGGTTTACATATAGAAAAGTTTCATGACTCTAAGAAGGAAAGAGGCTATTGTAAATTTGTAGTTGAAAGGATTGTTTCTATGCTTTTACATGATGATACTACATCTCTTGGTGTTAAACTAGAAGTAATCTCGGAAATCGGTACTGCTGGTCCAGACTTTATGTCAACAGTGATACGAGGTCTTGAAGATGTTATATTCTCCAATTTCTCAGAGATTTGGGTATGTTTGTGCAATCCCGAGACAAGTATATTTTATTTGTTCAAAATCTTACCCTTTGCTTCGTTACAGGTCAACGGAAACCTAGGAGCTGCTGAGATTTTAGTACCTCTACTTCAGTGCTACTCTAATCGCGTGCTTCCTTGGTATCTAGTAAAATATCCCTCCATATTGTATCTTATCATCAACTAATTTTTTTCGATATGGTTTTACCTACCACTTCCAGCCCACGGCTTCCAATAATTTTGACCATCAAATATTCCTTCATAAGCTCTCAAAAATATTTTTGGACATCAAAGATCCATTGTAGTTAAATATCCCTTCATGAGCTCTCAAAATATTTTTGAGCACTAAAGGAAGTTTTCTACAGAAAGCACCTTCCAATCAAGTTATGTATATTTTTTTGTCATGAGCTCTGACCAGTTTGCATAATCTTGTCATTTTAGCAATTTGTTTTCTTCTTGATTTCCCCACACAGTTTTTGTCTGGAATCAATAAGCAACAAGTGAAAATATGATACTAGTCACTGGATTGGTTTCATCGGCTGTTACCATCTCTTTTGCTTATAACTCAAATTCCTCATCTTATTCTCCAAAATCCTGTACGAGAGAGGACAACTAAAGGCAGTTGCATTTTGAATTCATATTGGATCTTACCTTATTGTTCTTTATAGTTTAGCTGTAGCTGGTGTGTTACTGCCTTTGGGGTCCGCCTTTCACCTTTTCTGTTTCATTTCTTGACATCAAGGGAATTTTGACAACAATAGTGATCTTCTAGTCTGCTTTGCCTGTCCAGCCCATAGTTTTTTTCCTACTCGAGAATGGCATTAAATATGCTCAACATACATGGGTCTGAAGCATTAACAGGTAATGGTTGGTAGTGGCAAAATCTAGCATTTGTTTCATGAGATGGGACATACTGGTTTGAAGGGGGTTTGCAGATTTTGCAGCTTCAATATGCAATGAACCATGTTCACGTCGGTCTATCTAAGTTCTTCTTGGTCTAAGTCCTTTTTCGCAAATAGCTACATTCTTACAGGCCTAGGTCCTAACTAGCTCGCCTATTGGTCTCCACAGCTCATGCCCAGATCATCTAGCTGACCTTCCACGTTTTATCCACAGAGGGATGCCAGTATTCTCGCATTTGCTCAAGAAAACTCTTTCCTAGTTTTATTTCTACATGATCTCATGCATTGGCAACATTAGTTAGAAGTGTGTGCAGTTTACAAGTTGATGAGGCCTATATGTTTGTGATCAGGTGCCACAAGTTTGGAAAAGCTGACCAAGTCGCAATGCAATTTGCTACCAATATTTGGAATCTGATGGAAAAGAGTAGTGTTCTCAGTGTAGAATTTCAAAGGAATGTAAGTATGGCTATTGTTGCTCATTAAACTCACATTTGCAAAACCTGGACTAGCATGAACCCAGCTATTTTTCGTTATTACATCTTTATACAATTTTTGAAATACACTTGCAATTTGGCTTCCTTATAGAGCAACATGAAATTCACATTTCTGGATATGTTGTTGATTGGTATTCTATTTCAGGGTGTTCTTGATACAACTATGATGGTGATGAAGCTTTGTGTTGGATATTGTACAGAAGAAAACCAGAGTATTATTGTACGGAAAGCTTATACTATTCTATCATCTACTACCTTTCTTCTGTTGGACTCTTTAGGCTTGCCCTTATCCAACTTAGAAGCGCTGCAGTCAATTCCAGATATATCTGGCTTATCCTGTAAAGATGAGTGGCTTATATCTCTGTTTGCATCAGTAGTGATAGTGCTACATCCACAAACACCTGTGCCAGATGTTGGAGCACTAACCAGATTGTTCACAGTTTTCCTACTTAAAGGTCATCTCCCGGCAGCTCAAGCTTTGGCTTCAATGATTAACAAATGGCCAGCAAATATCGGTACAGCAGAACTTTCAAGCACTCATGAACTGGAAGTAGTAATTGATGTGGTTCTTGAGAGTATATCGGCGGTACTTTCTAGTTGTTTAAAAGAATGTAAAATTGCCAATGGCACTGATGACAACTTGAGTTGTTCAAGCCTCATTTCTTACCAAATCCATGCCATTGTTGGCTTGGCATGGCTTGGTAAAAGTTTGCTTATGCGTGGACATGACAAGGTGAAAGAAATAGCAAAGCGTCTATTGAAGTGCTTACTCTCTGATCAGGATATTCCTGCCACTTCAGTAGCCAAGGATGAAGCTAGAGACAATGATCAGAATATGCATTCCCTTTTGATCAGAGCTGCAGCAGATGCATTTCATATCCTTCTTACTGATTCAGAAGTTTGCTTGAATAGAAAATTTCATGCAACAATGAGGCCACTTTATAAACAACGATTCTTCTCAAGCATGATGCCCGTCTTGCTCTCTTCAATCAAAGAATCCAATTCATCAAGAACAAGGTGCTTTCGTGCTCCTTTCATTATATCAGTTTTTCTTATCAAAACATTCTACAAATTTTAGTAAATAAGTAGCTTATAAACTCCAATCCAATTTTATTGCAATGCCTCTCTTGATAGGATAATTGGCATTACGTGGGGTTGTTGCCTGTCACTTATCCCAAAATGTACATAATGTAAACTGAATAACAGGTTTTCATGTTTTCTAGCTACATTGTGTAAGTTCATAGATAGTTATTAACTTTTCTCATATAAGAATGGAGAGTCAGTTTCTTGGAAAGGGAAGCATTTCTCTAAAATGCTTAGTAATTTATGAAAGAAGTGATTTGCTTCAGTTGTTTGTAAATTACATTTTATTGACAGTGGTCTGAGTTTCTTACTCTTGATGTTTAAAACATTTTCAGAGCTATACTGTATAGAGCTCTTGGGCATATTTTTTCTGACACTCCGTTAGCTGCTGTTGTTGCCGAAGCAAAAAAGGTTTGCTTTAAAACTCACTTTTGCCCAAAATTGCATGTGCATTCTTGTTCACTAGTGTTATTTCTTTTCTACTCGGCTTCATCTGCAATTCACAGCAGGGCTTTATTTTCTTCTGCAGGTTATACCTGCATTATTGGAGGGCTTATCTATATCTACTTTGGGAGTATCGAATAAAGAAATGACATATAACCTTTTATTAGTCTTGTCAGGGATACTAATGGATGAGAATGGTAAGTTTTTACTGTACAGTAATAACTATATGAGTTTCTTCTATGGTATGGTTCTTGGATGATTGATTTATGTGGATAGGATATTGATTACACCGACTAAAAGCTGTTGTCTATGAAAAGTTAAATCATCTATGATAACAAACATGTCAGAATCAGCACCACTATTTTACTGCTATTGACTATTGTTCATTCAAGATTTAGCTCATTATTGACAGAATCTTGTTTTCCTCTTCTCATGCATGAATGTGGAATTATTGCTATGTTCATGTTAATATATAAAAACTCTCTATGAAGCTATATGAGATGTCATACGATTGGGTCCAGTTATCCCTCTACCCACTAAGCAAATGCCTGAACTACCTTGAGATGCCCTAATATATAGCGGCTCCTTGGAGTTATAGTTTCCTGTCAAGGTACGAGGAAACCAAACAATCTTACTAATATTACTTTATAACGCTTAAACATTCTCCCCTTCCCGAGGGGTTTTTTCCCCTTGACAAATATAGTAGATATCCAACACCTCCTTCATCATATACTTAAAAATTGACACGGTCTGTATTTTGATAACAACTTGTCTATATACTTAAGCCGAAGGCTGTCTTGTCCCTGCACTGAGTCTACCATGTTAATTCAAAGCTCATTTAGTCACATGCAGACAAAAAATTATGCGGTCTGAAGGCCTATAACCTATTCCTCTAATGATTGGAAAACGATGACCTGTAAATGTAGCAACAAATAGATAATAAATGGATGACACAAACTTTCAGAATGTATAATATAGCACCATGAAAGTTTTATAATATGGTAAATAAGTGTATGGAGCATCCATTATTGTGACCCACAATATTGATTGGTTGGTGGGAACAAAGTTTAAATTTGTTTCTTTGGAACCTTAAAGCCTCACACATACACATATATACTGTAGGGAGCTATTGCAGTTCTAAAATTTGAGCTTTTGGATTTGGTAATCCAATGAAACCAAGGTTTTTCACTTAGAAACTACAAGACTGGATACCCTGACATGAATTAGCGCATGCTTGATGTTTAGCAGATTGGCAAGGGGAAGGATCCTAGGAAATGTAGCTTTCTAATGTTGGGAAACACTTAGTCGTTTATCTTTCCATGTTAATTTTTGTTCTTTCTAGTTCCATTACTCTTACAATCTTTTGATGCCTAACCTGTGTTCAAAGTAAACTATACCATTACAATTTTTTTTGAAATTGCGAAAACAGACACATGCTCTATTTGTTTTCTTCCATAAATACTACTGACGTTTGCAGTCCATCTCTTAGTTATTAAGAGCGGAATATATGTTCTTTTAATCACTATCAAAACAATATCAGTTTACTAATTATCGAGTGTGAAACAAATGAAGTTGTCAGCCAAGATCTTCAAGTGATGAATGCTAATTTAATTGCATTGCCATCATAATTTTTTCTTCTGTTATTTGTTTGTCTCTGAATGCAGGGAAGGAAGCTATTGTAGAGAATGCTCATACTATTATAAATCACCTCATTCGACTGGTTTCTTATCCTCATATGATGGTAACAGGCTTTTAAAAATTCATTCATTTATTGATATTGAAGAGTTTCAAGTTGATTTGGTTTCCTCTAACTTCTGCTCATATATAACAAAGTTTCTTTTTAAGGCCAATCTAATGAAAAACCATGCAAACTTTTGTTGGAAAAATGTAATGCGGAACATGTAGTGGACAGTCTCTCGCATAACGGTATTGTTCCTTAAAATAACACATCATCACTTGCGAGGCTTTTGGCTTTACTTGGCTGGGATCTAGCATTATGTTTAAACCTGGAACTGATTTGTCATTTTGCGTACGCTGCCTACTTTCAAGATCTAGAACAATAATCTTTTTCCTTCTCACTTGTTCTTGAGAAACCACTTTTTTTTTTAATTTTATCTCATATGCCCTTCAGCAAAGTTTATACTAGTGTTGCACTAAAGATGTGTCAGAGCTTTGTTATGTTGTCACCTTACTAAATGCTGTTGATTTCTCATTGTTAGACCCTAGAGGGGGGTGATTAGGGTCTTATGCTAATCTAATCCGATTTTATGCCAATTAAAACTTAATTAACAAGTTATCATAGTAAATATGAAATACAACAATGTATATGAGCTAGGATAAGTAATATGAACAACAATATATATCCTAACAAAGAGATATAGGCAATGTATGTGCAAGGATATGTAAACTACACAAGGATAAACAATCTAAACAAGATAGTGGATGATATAGAAATGAGCAATGCACAATGACGATATAAGATATGAACATAAATATGAATGAACGCCAAAGCACACTCAAACAATCAATATGATCACGGAGTTCGGACCTTCCGTCCTACGTCTCCGCTCCCCACTCCCGGGGAGAAATCCACTAACACAATCCGGTTTGGAAGCCGGAACTTCTTCTACACACTCGGTTTTCTAGCTAACCAAAAACTCTACAACTCATACTATGTAATCACACTCTACACCCACTAAGTGTTGGACCTAGCCGTGTCTCCCTCAAATGCTCAGTTACAACCTCTCTCTAGGCACGTCAACCGACGCCACTCCTCTTGGGACGATTCCCGACTCTCACCACACACTCCTCACTCGGTGTACAAGTGTATTACAAAGTGATTCTCATGATAAGCACAAATTAACAAATGATTGTTCTCTCTAACAAGGTGAGAACTCAATTAAGCTCACTCTCAATGTCACAAACCCATAACCCTAAATTATACTATTAATGTAAATACTAGGGGTGAGCACGGTTCGGTTCGGGTCGGTTTTTACTAAATTTGAACAACCGAACCGAACCACCTATAATTCAAAACCGAACCGAACCATTGCAAATCGGTTCGGTGCGGTTCGGTTCGGTTTGTTCGGTTCTAACTTCATCAAGTATAACTTCACTTCAATTTATCTTTTATATATTCTTATTACCCTATGCTAGCATGTATTTATTTTTTAACTTCACTTCAATTTATTATTCTTGCTCATGTATGTATACTGTTTTTAAGTGAAGTAACTTGTCCTTTTGGATTAAATACTAGACTCTGACGTTGTAATTTTTAGTAACGGACTTGCTTTGTCCTTGGGTAAACGATAGGTTTGAAGGCAAGGGAATATATTCGGTTGGTTCGGGTCGGGTCGGTTTAATAAATTTGTCAACCCGCGAACCCGACTCTTACTCATAAAACGCCGTCTTTTCGGGTCGGTTGCGGCGTCGGTTCGCTTGGTTTTTTTCGGTTTGAACCGAACTTGGCTCACTCCCGTAGTACATACAATAAGCTCAATAAGTTGTGTGTGAACAAAGAGTATCAATAAAACAATTAAACTAAACTCAAATATAAATCTAAGCTATATGAAATTATAACAAAATAAATAAATTGGCTAGATGAGTTTAGAAAGCACTTCTCTAATCAAGATGCGAGAGATGGAGATTTGAGGCGCCAAACAAGAAGATAATCCTCCTCACTTGTAAAGCTTAACGTTGCTTTAAACTAAAACCCTTAAACAACTTAAACAACTTAAACTCTTTTTAAAATCCTTGTTTATAAAACTCTTTTAAAACATTCTTAGATGCCTGAAAAGAATAGCAATTGGGCTAATTTATACCCACTCAAGATCTCAACAAAAACCCCCAACAAAAATGCAAAACAGTCCCGCAAAAGACAGCTGCAGAAAAATAGTCGTTAGTGTCTAACGGATCTATTGTCGGTGCGACGGACACCCGAAACGTTCGGTCGACCGACAGAAAGAATTCGGTTCGGACGACGGAAAATCCGGTCGACGCGCGGGAGCAGGCTGAAAAACAAAGAAACAAGCAGAGACTTCGCGGTCGACCCGTGCGGTCGCCGATGGAGCTCTTTCGTGATCTCGGAGCGCGGTCGACCGACAGCTATCTGTCAGCCCAGTGAACTTTTGACCTCAGGTTCGGTCGACCGGTGCGGTCGACCGAAAACTGATATGAAAACTGTTTATCTGATTTTGAAATGCTGTTTAAAAATATCAAATAAATTCCAAAAAATGTAAAACTTTGGGGAATGATTGTAGACATGATAATAAACATGCTACAATGACTGGTTTCGAAAAAGGACTTCCCAAATGAAAAATATCATCATTTTACAAAATAGTCCAAAACACGAAAATGTAAACATGTGAATTTTGACATTTTGGCTAAACTAACTTTTGAAACTTTACAAAATGATTTTATAGACTTGAAGAAAGATGTAAACTATTGTTATGAAGTCTATAAACAATGAATGTAGTATTTTATCAAAATACACATATAATGCACTAAAAACATGATTTTATTTAACTAACTAAAATTGATATTGATGAAATCATATATATGCATATGAGTATGAAACAAAAATATGTTTTCTAATTATATTCAATTGTTTTATAGTATAACTTAAAAACTATCAAACCAAAACATATATGTATATATATAACTATATATATACAAAAACCAAAATGTGTATGTGTGTATATGATTGAGCTTAAAGTACTAACACACATAATATAAATTCCTAAACTAAATTACCCAAGTTTGATTGGTCTTTAATATGCTTGACTTGGTAATCTCGCGGATGAAACTTGAACTTGATCTTTAACTTTGAATTGCAAGGCTTCACCGACATTCCGCCAACCTCCATTTGATATGAACGTTAAGGCTTGATTCCATCCATCCTCCAACAACGTTGTTTGTCAACAAAATATAGGAATGCACAAACACTAGACAAACAACATTAGTAATAAATTGTTTGTTAAACATCATCAAAACAAGAAGGCCAACAATCTCCCCCTTTTTGATGATGACAAATAATTTACAAAAAGGAATATATGCATGAAGGAAATGAACATATACAAGATAATACACATGCATATAAACAAGGAATTGTATACTAAATAATTTACAAAAAGGAATATATGCATGAAGGAAATGAACATATACAAGATAATACACATGCATATAAACAAGGAATTGTATACTCACAAAATTTTTCCCCCTTTGACAACATCAAAAAGGGGACAAAAAGAATAAGAGAGCGAAAGCTCCCCCTATCAATAAGCATAGGTGAGTATCAAACAAGTATAGGGATTGCTCCCCCTATCAAAAAGCCATATAGGATATAAGCAATAAAAGATCATGGCATAACATGTGAGTAAGCATAAAAAATATGCTAACAATCACTCACATTCAAACAAGATATGAGAACACATAAATATATCAAGATGAACATATTGTCTCATATCATAAACGCCAATGTATAAAATAGATTTATGAAATCAAAAGAAGAGAAACATGAGAATCATGTAAAAAAGTTTTCAAATGAAAACAAGTCAACCAATTGAAATCATAAGTCAAAGTTTAAATCCAAAACCGATGTTTGATCAATCAAGAAATTTGATCAAACCACATATGGAATACATTATAAGGTACAAATAGATGATCCATAAGCACAAACACATAAATATCATCATATAAGTGAAATATAATGAATTTAAAGCAATAATTCAAAACAAAATCTTTGATAAAAGAATTTTAAGAGAGACAACAATATATCAAGCTCTTAAGCAAAACAAAATCTTTGATAAAAGAATTTCAAGAGAGGCAACAATATATCAAGCTCTTAAGCAAAACAAAATCTTTGATAAAAGAATTTCAAGAGAGGCAACAATATATCAAGCTCTTAAGCAAAACAAAATCTTTGATAAAAGAATTTCAAGAGAGGCAACAATATATCAAGTTTGGTACCCAAGAACTCTTGGTACCAAAAGATTTAGGGACATGACCCCTATCATTTAAGCTCAAAACCTTAGGGTTATGAACCCTCTTAGGTATATGTGGTGCACTAACATGGTCAAAACAATATTCATTCAAATGACCCTTCCGATTGCAATTTGTGCAATGAAAGAGATCCATTTGTTTTTGTGGACCATTAGCTCGTGCACGGGAATCATTTGCAAATAAAGATTTTCTTTTAAAATTATTTTGCAAATGAGAAACATTCTTAAACAATGGTCTATTTGGAACATATTGCAATTTAGAAGCTTTTTGTATATCAAAACAAAATTTAGCAAGATGTCCAAACCTACCACAAACATCACATTTAAAAACATGTGGTCTATTGGAAGCATTTGTCAAATGAGATTTTTTTTTCAAATCAAAGCAATATTTGGCCAAATGATCAAAACGATCACAATAATCACACTTGAACACACTAGCATGCTTATGATGAACTTTGTGAGAATGAGCATGTGAATGTGTAAGTGTACAAGATGAAGAAGCTATATGAGATGCACAAGGAACATTTGAATTCTTATGTTTGTGTGCATCATAACAAAACTTAGCTAAATGACCTTGACGGACGCAAATAGAACACTTATAAGTTTTGCTATACATGTGTGCATAATGAGTGGATGATTTTGATTTAGTCTTGGCACACATGTCCATAAGCCTCTTATGATTATTAATGCATATTTTCAAAGTTGAATCTAAAGATGAAATACTATTTTTCATAAGATTCAAATCTTCATTTTTAGGCACATATGCATTTTTAGAAGTAGAACATAAATAGTTATTTATAAAAGAAGCTGTATCATTCTTTATGTTCTCTACTTCTAACATGGCATCAATCTTAGCATGAGATAAGCTAGCAATAGATGAGATCAAATTTTTATTTTTCAAATTTAATAAGTCATTGCTTTCTCTAAGCATAGTATTTTCATTTTCAATGACATCAAATTTGGACACTAGCTTCTCATGATCGGATTTTAAAACATCATGCTTGTTTTTTAAATCATTAAAATCATTTTGTAATTTGTTAAAGGCATGTAATAATTTTTCACTAACACAAACAAGTTCATCACTAGATAAATCATTAATAGATTCGAACTCGCAAACCTTACTAGGGCTATCGCCTAGTGTACGTGTGCATGACGCTCCACATGAGCTTGAAGCCGGATCCGCCAAAACTTGTTGGATCGCCTCCAAGTCCCCTTGATGCGCTTCAATTAATTTCCATAAGGTGTAAGCACTATCAACATGAACAAACTTGTTAGACATAGATGAGTTAAAAACATTTAGTAAATATTCTAACAAAATGTTGTTCATAGTAAACATACGATGATCATTTTTATTCCACTTGGATTTCTCCATAGTGGGCACAATATAGGCATCATCTATAATTTCCCATAAATCAAAGTGTTTAGATTGAACAAAAAGTTTAAATCTAACACACCATTGGGCATAAGGGAAATTATCTAACCTAGGAGCAATATTAATGGCATAACCTAAACCATGCATATCCATAATATAAAAGGCAAGCAAGATACAAATAAAGCTCAAAATTAGATTAGCACAATAAGCTAACTTGGATCTTTAACTCAAGGCGATTAGACCTTAAATCAAAGAGCACCAAGCTCTGATACCAATTGTTAGACCCTAGAGGGGGGGTGATTAGGGTCTTATGCTAATCTAATCCGATTAAATGCCAATTAAAATTAATTAACAAGTTATATTCTTGCAAGATAGATATACAATAGTTATAAGCAAGAATAAGCAATATACACAAAGTGATATATCCTATATGATGAAATATATGCAAGGATATATAAACAACACAAGGGTAAAAAATCTAAACAAGATAGTGGATGAAATAAATAATGAGCTAATGACAATGGCGATATAAGATATGAACATAAATATAAATGAACGCCAAAGCACACTCAAACACACTATATGATCACGGAGTTCGGACCTTCCGTCCTACGTCTCCGCTCCCCACTCCCGGGGAGAAATCCACTAACACAATCCGGTTTGGAAGCCGGAACTTCTTCTACACACTCGGTTTTCTAGCTAACCGAAAACTCTACAACTCACACTCTTGCAATCACACTCTACACCCACTAAGTGTTGGACCTAGCCGTGTCTCCCTCAAGTGCTCGGTTACAACCTCTCCCTAGGCACGTCAACCGACGCCACTCCTCTTGGGACGATCCCCGACTCTCACCACACACTCCTCACTCGGTGTACAAGAGTATTACAAAGTGATTTAACAATTAAGCACAATATAGCAAATGATTGTTCTCTCTAACAAGGTGAGAACTCAATTAGGCTCAACTCAATGTCACACTATCCCACAACCCAATTATATAATGTATGCAAATACAATAAGCTCAATGGTTGTGTTATAATCAAAATAATAAATTGCTAGATGAGTTTAGAAACACTTCTCTAGATCAAGATGGAGAGATGGAGATTTGAGGCCCAAACAAGAAGATAATCTTCTCCACTTGTAAAAGCTAAACTTGCTTTAAACTAAACCCTTAAACAAGCTTAAACAAGCTTAAACTCTTTTTAAAACCCTTGTTTAAAAACTCTTTTAAAACATTCTTAGATGCCTGAAAAGAGATCAGCAATTGGGTATTTATACCCACTCAAGATCTTAATAAAAATCTCAAACAAAATGACAAAACAGTCCCCAGAAAACAACTCAGAAAAATAGCCGTTAGTGTCTAACGGATCTATTGTCGGTCGACCGACAGAACGTTCGGTCGACCGAAAGAAAGAATTCGGTCGACCGACGGAAAATCCGGTCGACCGCGAAGACCTCGCTTGAGCCAGGTCATGAAAAACAAAAACGAAGTAGAGACTTCGTCGGTTCGATCGGTGCGGTCGACGATGGGAGCTTTCGGTCGAGCCGGATCGGTCGCCGACCAGAGCTGCTATGTCGCACAGGAGCAAGGAGAACTCAGGTTCGGTCGACCGGTTCGGTGCGACCGAAAACTACATATTCAAGAAAACTGGTTTTGCCTGATTTTAAAATGCTGGTTTAAAAATATCAAATAAATTTTCAAAAAATGTAAAGACTTTAGGGAAGTGAAGGTAGACATGATAATAAACATGCTACAACGGACTGGTTTCGAAAAAGGGAAAAAGCTTCGCCAAATGAAAAATATTATCATATTTGCAAAAATAGTCCAAAAACACGAAAATGTAACATTGAATTTTGAGCATTTTGGCTAAACCAAACTTTGAAAGCTTTACAAAATGAATTTTATAGACTTGGAAGAAAGATGTAAACTAATTTGTTATGAAGTCTATAAAACAATGAATGTAGTATTTTATCAAAATAACATAGAGATGCCACTAAAACATGATTTCATTTAAAGCTAACTAAAATTGATATTGAATGAATCATGATATTATGCATATGAGAGTATGAAGCAAAAATATGTTTTCTAATTATATTCAATTGTCTTCATAGTAAACTTGAAACTATGCAACCAAAAACATATATGTAATACTATATAAGTATATATATACAAAACAAACGTGTATGTTGTGTATATGATTGAGCTTAAAGTACTAACTTAATTTCTAACAACTAAATTACCCAAGCTTGATCTTGATCTTCAATAAGCTTGACTTGGTAATCTCCGCGGATGAAGCTTGAACTTGATCTTTAACTTTGAATTGCAAGGCTTCACCGACATTCCGTCAACCTCCATTTGATATGAACGTTAAGGCTCGATTCCATCCATCCTCCAACAACGTTGTTTGTCTACAAAACATAGGAATGCACAAACACTAGACAAACAACATTAGTAATAAATTGTTTGTTAAACATCATCAAAACAAGAAGGCCAACACTCATTACTACATTAGCACATTTACTCTACCCATAAGCAAAATTGTAAAATCACTAACCTTTAACGTGCCTTGGACCCAATTGCTGCACAAACATTATCCTTACTAACCATCTTTCTGTGTGCCTACATATGATGGATGCATGAATATGTGTGCATGTGTTTGTGGATGTAGGGCTAAATATGCTCAAATGGATGCAGCCTACATGTGTACATACATCTTTACATTGTTGTTTACATGTGTTTGTGCATGCGTTAATTTGCATGTTTGCATGTGTACTTAGTTTTCTATGTTTTATCAGAATTACAAAATATTATGAAGTCTCTATATGGAAATAGTGTCGTAACTGCTGTAATTATTTATGCTGAAAATCTTAAAAGAAACTGGGAAGTATATAGAGATCTAGACCTTGATCTTCACAGAAGGTGGTAAATCTGTGTTCTCCATGTTTCATAGGATTCGTTTGTTTGAGGAAACTAAATAATTTAAGTTAGTTAGATTCGGAAATACTAGATTTTGCTTTTTCCTGAATGCAAAGAGCATAGTAGCATTCTGCACGAGAATCGTCTTGACTAAATACCAGTGGAATTTGTCTCGACTGAAATGCTTGTAAAGAGTGAAACCATGCACAAATGAACACTTGCAGTTTTTTACTTTTCTTTTACTTCTGATTGAATATTCGCCATTTTGAACGATTTCTCTGTCGACAAATTTTCATTGAGGTGTCACTATAAATCTGAAGTTCTTGGAATCTTTTGTGGTATGCCTTAGCTTGTACGGGAAACAGCAATTCAATGTCTTACAGCAATGTCATCACTTCCTCACACAAGGATTTATCCCATGAGACCGCAGGTGGGATTGGTTTGGTGAAATATTCATTTTTCCCCCATCATGTTCATAATGAACAAATTTTCTATTTAGGATCGCGTGGCTTAGAGTCAAAACTTATTCCTTTTTATAATTTCATGTTAGGTCCTAAGAGCTTTAGTGATGTCCCTTGATGATCCGAAAAGACATGTTCGTCAAGAGGCTGTTAGATGTCGTCAAGCATGGTATGGAGATATATTTCTTGTAGAATAAATGCAAATAAATGGATACAGTGTTTTCACATCAGATACTCTTATCAATGCAGGGCATCAATAGCTTCAAGAAGTCTTCATTTTTGAGAATAGTGGAATTTAATATTACAATTCAATCAGAGAGGCATATTTGATGTTATGAGTTCTATCATCCAGGTATTGTTTTGATTAGCTGCTTTAGTAAGTCTAATGTAATATAATGCAATTTATAGTCTCCAATTTCCCAGTGATCTTTACTAATTCAAATCTCCTGTCCTTGAGAAGCCAAGAGTGGATAAATCAACTGTTATAGATGCATTGTTGAAAACGTTGTCATATTCTTTATTGAACTAATTATGTTTTCTATGAGATGACTGTAAGAATCATTGTGTAATCTTTCATCTTTGTCAAACAGGCTAATAATATACTTTATCACATGCATATCTTTTAGATAACTTAGCAGCATAGACAACCTTTATTGTTTTGAAACTCCCTCACTTGTAAGTCATTTTCATTTGTTGCAAGTCAGTTATGAGTTCTTCAAGGATAAATGATGAGACACTGAAAATAAGTTATGGTATTAGTTATGCTGCTCAAACAGGCTGAGCCTATTTGTTTTCCCACTCCTTTTTAAGTTTAAAAAATGCTACATGTTTGCTAACCTTTAATGACTAGTTTGAACGCGGGAACCCTATAAATTCTGTGTCCTGATTTTTCCCGACTTCTTCAATAGAACTTGATCGGAGGAAGTATTTTCACAATGTTCTCAACGACAACACTAGATGGGTATAAGAACAATTCTATTTCTATACACGTCAGTCACTTTTTTTACGTCTATAATGCTGTATTGTCCACCTATTAAGAAAGAACAAGAAGCTAGCAAAATAATTAGAAGGCTGTGCAACGCTGAACAGTTCTTATTCATTGGAAAACCAACAAAATGATTTTGTAGAGCTGCTGCTATTGCTGTCACACAGAGAAATCTCCAACTCCTGTCGTGGAATGTAGTGGTATTTGTCTTTGTGATAAATACAGCTGTCTTTGCTTTGCACATTTAGCTCGATGTTTTGATTCAATTTAAAAACGTTAATACATATCTTTCTGTGATATTTCTGGACATATACTTGTGCCTCAACTGAGAAACTGTTTACAATTATCCTAGTCCTAACATTCTTGCACCAACAAGTAACATCCCCATAGTTAAATTCATGGAAAATATCATTCATTGAATCTATATCACATATGCAACACCTAATTGACACATACATCTTCCTCTATCCTTTCATGGAGAGTGACAAAATATTGTATCAAGCTTTCTATGGCCGTCGTCTTTGATTTTTTTTGTTTTTTAAGTCTGATTAATGATACATGTTCTCATGTTATATTTTTGATGGGTCGTCAGTACCTGGATGTATGTATAGTGTTATATCACTGTTTGGCAAATGGTTTGTCATGCTGATCTCAATGGAACCAGGCGGCTACTTAGAACCAGTGCTACTACTTGGAGCGATCTGGATGCAGAATAGAAGAGCACAAGCAGAGCTGGAGGATTCAGAAATTAGGAAATGCAGTTGGTGTACATCGTTGTACGAGGATATTTATTTGTACTATGGGAAGCACAATGTTGCGCACTTCCAATGTTTAATGTATATTAATGTTATGGATGTGTACATATGTTTTTGAGAACAATACTGCAATATATTTAAGTCCAATAATTGTTCAATGAGTTTGAATCTAGACTCGTTTCAGACAAAATTTATCCAGGCAACAATCTTGCAAGTTCGAAACTTTATGCTGAGGAGAGTGTTTTGTGTTCCCTCCATGCCAGTAGTTATTTGTGTAGCAGTTTTGAGCAGGTATATCCTTTCAAATAAAAATGCAGGAGGCGAAATTCTCTCTCAAAATGTTAATGCTGACCTCACACGTCACGAATTACGTAATTTTTGTGCAATTTCCCCCATCAATAGACATCTGACAGTTTGACGCCTATCGTATTAAACATTTCATTTTGAGGTTATTACTAAAAAAGTTACATTTTCGCAAATTATAACGGGTAGGTAATAATACTTTAATAAAGTGAAGTGTAACAATTATTTAGATGGGAAGAAAAACTCTTTGTTCATAAATCAACTAGGTTATCTACGTTCCCAATAAGAGAATACATTTGATCATATATGAAAAAGGCTCATTAGGCAGATAACTGAGATAAGACCTAGAGAATTACTGCAAATTGTACGCAATGCAACTTCTTTTACTTGACAATAATAATCTAGAGGACAAATTTTCAAAACCAACCTATTTGGACTTTTATTCCCCAAAAAAGACCCGTTTCACATTTATTTAGAGAAACCGACCTGGTTTCAGCCTCAGCGCTGAAACCAGGTCGGTTTTTGAAAAAAACTCTCCGAAACTTCACGGGAGTTGAACTCCCGTGAAGTTTTTTGAACTACGAAACTTCACGGGAGTTCAACTCCCGTGAAGTTTCTGAGAGTTTTTTTTCAAAAACCGACCTGGTTTTAGCACTGAGGCTGAAACCAGGTCGGTTTTTGCAATTATTTTTGAATGGGGTCGTTTTTTGGGAATAAAAGTCCAAATAGGTTGGTTTAGAAAATTTGTCCATAAGCAAGAGGGCGCATTTCAAGTGACATTCAGTTTGCATGAATTATATAAGTTATAAGTTCAAATCAGCGATGATATTCGCTTGATTGCAATTAATCAGCTGACATATTTCATTAGAAGCTCCTTAGGAAAAAGAAAGAAATAAAAAAAAGAAAAGGAAAAAAAACAATAGCTATTCGTCAATCTTTTCCTAAAGCAAGATAATAACCATCAATATCATACAACATAATCAGTTAGTCAAATATTGGTATCATCATTTCCTCCTAAAATGTTTATGAGAATTATCAGTTCACAGAGTCAGAGTCCTTTGAACAGTCCACTTGAGTGAGATATGCACACAAAAAAAGTATATGTTAATAATGAATAATTTAACGTTAATTTCAAGCACCATTTATGCGTTGTGCTTCAGGTATTCCTTTTCAAGTTCCATTTGAATATTTGTACTACTTATGAGATAACAAATAGAAAAGATTATGCCAAAAACATATTAGGTAGATTAAGGGTCAGTTGCAAATGAGTCCCTCAAATCTATAGTTTTATTACAATTTCGTCCATCTTTTAGCTTTTCTGTTATTTTCTCTAACTATGGTTGGGTTAACCCTTAACCCAACATCTATAGTTACCTAAATACCCATTATAGTATATGTTTCCCTCTTAAAGCATCGTAATTTAGAGGATTATATAGAATTTAAAGGAAGTATCACCATAGAAAGAGCTCTGAAATGGGTTTGGGGCGCCCTTGACCGTTGCGGAAAAAAGAATTTTTTAGATTCATGTTTAGGATAAGCGGTTGTGGGTTTAAATCTGCTAAGATGCGGGTTGATGAGTTTTAAATGAATGTATAACGAGTAAACCCTCTCATTCTATTAAAGATGATATAACGTTCCCCTCAAAACTCACATTACTAAACCATAGGGATGAAATTGCAGGAGGCATTTAGATTTGAGGGACTAATAAGCAAATACTAAGACTTGAGGAACTAATTTGCAATTATGGATGATTTAAGGGACTAATATACACTTAATCCTTTAGATAACCTTGGACAAATTTTAAAACCAACCCTTTTTGAACTTTAATTTCAAAAATTAACCCATTTTATTTTTATTTAGCATTTTCGACCCAGTTTCAGCCAGCTAGCAGAAAATGGGCGGAAAATGCTAAATAAGTTGCAAAACCCATGAGGTTGTGAATCTCGTAAAGTTTAGCACGAAATTATGGAGGAAATTAGTCAAAACAATATTCACATGATTTCTAATCCCGTGAAGTTTTGTTTCATTAATAACTTCACGAGATTGATAATTTCATGGAGCTGTTGAGCTTGCCATCGTTCGAGGGTGACCGTGCATGAGGTCGATCGAAAGCCTGCAAACTTCACAGGATTTTGAATCCCGTGAAGTTTTGGGGTTGAATCATGAGAGAGTTCTAATTCGAGCTCTCTGCAAATTGACACCTGCAACATCACGGGATTCAAAATCCCGTGAAGTTGCAGAGTTAGATTGCAAGAGAGCTCCAATTTGAGCTCTCTACCAATTGACCCCTGCAACTTCATAGGATTCATAATCTACCAATTGACCCCTCCAATTGACCCTTGCAACTTCATCCAATTGGTCCCTGCAACTTCTACATGTTGACCCCTCCAATTGACCCCTGCAACTTCATGGGATTTAGAATCTACCAATTGACCTCTGCAACTTCATGGGATTCCATGAAGTTGCGGGACATGCAAAAGCATGTATGTTCATAGTGAATTTTCCTCCTCATTCACAACTTGTTGTATATACAAAATTTTGCAACAATATACACGAAATCCAACCACATACACGAAACTTCAACTGCATATATACACGAAATTCCAACCACATATATACATGAAAATTGATCCACACAAGCAACAATTTCGAACAATCTAACCAAATATATTCATGAGATTCAGAATCACAAAATAAACATCATATACCCCTTCGCCTAACTCTTCCGCCCCCCACCCCACCCCCATCCCCGTCCTCGATGTCATTGATCACGAGCCTTGATGATCTGTGTATCTGATTGTGTATGAGGCTGAGAAGTACCGGATCCATCATTACGCATTGTACTATGTGAAGTGTCGGCTCCATCATCACATGCCGTTCTAGAACCCGTCTTACGTTTTCGCTCGTGCACGTTTAGAAATTAGCGTGTTCTGTCCTCGCATCCTTCAAACTCGTCGACATGATTCCTATGAAACATATTCACTATTCTTTGCCTGATATTGTTGCAGACTGATATTGCTTTTGGATCCTGAATCTCGGCAATACTCTATTTATATTTCCCTCAATCTCATCAAATACACGAATCTACAATTTAATTAGTATATACACAGCTTAGCAAGCAGTATAATTACAAAAGAAGAATATTCTTTTTAATAAGTTTAAAAACTTACATAATCTCTCTCGATCGTGGCCCTAAGGATGTAAGTATCTAACGGTGGACGTGGCATGAATCCAGTTGCTGAGTGTAGGTCGCGTACTATCCATCTGCGTGTGATATCCTTATACTAATGCATATACTCGTTATAACTCACTGAATTTCTCTCATTCTCTATGAGATTCCACATATTATTCCATCTATTTATGTAGGGCTTATGGTATTGCCTCCAGTCCACATGATGTGATGTCATCCATCGTTGGTGAACTTTGGCCCAATAGAGGTCGGCGGCGGTGGAGAAATGTGATCGGAGCGAAAATGGTCGGAGCGTGTCAGGTCGAGATAAGAAACCGCGAGTCTCAGTGTGGGGGAGAGAGCGAGGAGGAGAGGGGGAAATGAGAAGAAAAAAGAGTAGAGAGAAGAGAGAAGAGAGAGAAGAGAGAGAGAGAGAGTAAGTATAAACGGTGTAGGTGAGGTGCGGTTGGCAACTTCACGTGACTTTGAATCCCATGAAGTTGTAGGACTCTCGACAGAGACTTCAAAGTCTCTGTTAGATCGCTTGCAACTTCACAGGATTCAGAATCCCGTAAAGCTACATGATTTGATACAACAGTTTCACATGATTCTAAATCCAGTAAAATTTGGCTCTTATCCATCCCTCGAGGGGTGCATGCTGTCGAGTGATGATGTGGACACAACTTTGTTAGCAAGCATTAATTTTGTGTTAAGGGGCTGTTTGGTTCGCTATTATAAGGGGTGGAAAACTCAGAAAACTCCTCCACGTCAGATTTTTAGCCCTCCACGTCAGCTTTTTTGTTTTCGTCCATTTCTTTGTGCCGCTTTGGTTCGCTCGAATGGAAGAGGGAAAACTCTGCTGAAATCGCCGCCAACTAAGATTTTTTCCCTCTCCGATTTCCTTCCCCAACCAAGTGAAATTGATGAAAACTCTGCCACGTCAGATTTTTTTCCTTCTCTGCTTTGTTTATAAAAGTTTTCCTTTTTTTTCTATGCGAACCAAACACAAGAAAAATAAATATATTGGTTTCCCACCATTTTTTATGTGCGAACCAAAGCAAAACAATCTATTTCTTGGAAAAGTTTGGAAAACTCAAAACTTGTGTTTCTTTACATGGAATTGCATTTCTCTATATCAAGAAAACGAACCAAACAGCCCCTAAACGTCATGCGATTCCCGGTCCCGTAAAACTTTTTCAATTTATTTAATATTTTCAACCCAGTGTCAGCTGGCTGAAACTTGGGGATTGGTTTTTGAAACCATCAAAGTTCAAAAAGAGTTGGTTTTGAAAATTTATCCATAACCATGCGAAGGCATTTTCCCCTCGCATCCGCACGTGGATCTAATCATATAAAACCCATACCC